ATATATATATATATATATTAGTAGAAAGCAGGTGCAAGGGATAGAAATGAAACCCAAAATAATTGTGCCACTGAGTCTGAACCCAAATCTTGTATTTATTAATATCTTTGGACACTCTTAGACATCTATGATTCATACATCTCTAGCCGTCATCACTTGGCAAGTGAACAATTTTAAGTTGTAAAAACGCTTGATTTACAAGCTGAATTTGATCTCACTAAATCCCAAGTCTTGTGCGCTGGTTTGGTAGATTAATAAATTTCATCTCGATTTGAAATTACAATTTGAATTAAATACTAGTGCTAAATGCTAATTTCAATAAATTCCTATGCACCCTTTAAAACTCAGCACAGACAAATACAGTTTCAGTACCAATTTCAAGAGTCACTTGACTTGTAAAGCTGAGTCAGAAACAATGTTCTAGCGAAAAAAGATATTACTTAGTTGGCTAAACAAATATTGTGCTTTTTGATTTTTTTTTTCTCTGGTATTAATTGCGAGTGAGCTGAGAGAAAGTTAAAGCACTAAGTCACCATCTGAGTGCTAGATGGAGATTGTGCACAAAATTTTCATCTACAAGACTTCAATGAAACTGTCTGTTGTTTATGTCAGTCACTTCTTGAGTTGTTGGAGTTGTTTCTCTTGTTCAATAAAACTATTCGTTTAATTTTTACATCTAATTTGGTTCTTGTAACAAAAATGAGCAACTGACTTAAATTAGCTTTTGAGGAGTTTATCACTCTAGGGGAATCCACATAGACACTACTACAAGAAACAAGGGCTTTAGCTTGTCACTAAAGCTTGACTTGTCGTCACTAAAACTTGTCGTCGCTATAATAATTTTGGAGATGACATGCCGTCGCTAAACCATCGTTGCTAAAAGTCTATCGTTACAATATTTTTAGCGATGAGAATGTCGTCGCTAAGTTATAGCTACAATATGTTGTCGCTATAGATTGTCGACACGAGCAGATAGAGAATGACATTAGGAAAACTTTTAGTGATGACTTTTTCAAACTTGTCGGTAAAAGTTTTAAAATGTTTCAAAAATAAATTTGTTTAAAAATTTTAAGCGATGACATTGTTGTCTCTAAAGATTTGTCGATGTCATTTTAGGGACGACAGTTTTTTTTTTTTTTTAAAGTTATTAATTATTTAGATTTTATTTTGTTTTAGTAAAATATTTGAATTTTGATTTTATATTTAAATATTGTTATTTATGTATTAAATAATATATTAATTTATTAAATATGTTAATTACTATAAAATGTAATTTAATTGTTTTAACATAAATGGAATAATAGTTAATAAAAATACTACTAATCAAGGTGAAATAACATAATACAAAATAAAACAAACTACATAAGGTCTAAAAAGAAATAAAAATAAAACACATGATTAGTGTAATAACATAATAAGACTAATAAAACACACAATCAAACAAAGTCTAATTCCCTAAATTTACGTTATCATTATTTTCGTTTCTTCATCATCAGTTGCAGGCACAATACCCGATGGAGGAGGAGGGATGTTAATATTAACTCCTGGATTCATCTATCTCACTGCAACAACCATTTCCAAGCTGCTGTTGTACTGCTAGCCGCTGTTGCAGATTTGGTGATAATTGTGTGTGCTGGAACCCGGACTGCATCCAGAAGAGGAAGAACAAGAACCTTTCTGTCTTTGAGTGATTTTAGGTCTCACTCCGTTTTGATGATCCCTATGCGATCCAAGCACGTTTTCTAGAATAGCAACCTCATCTACGGTTGGGGTGGAGCTTGAATTGGACTGCGAAAATTATTAATTAATGTTGGGATTTCAGTTTTGATATTTGCCTTTTTCGGATTTGATTCATTTTGGTGTTGGCATTATTTTAGGCATGTTTTGTTGATTGATCTAATTGAAGATTAAATGACTGCTGATATGGTCTTTCTATGAAGGTTTTGCTTATAAGAAAACTGTTTAATTGATTTGATTCCTTAAAAGTCAATTTTGAGTCATATTTGGTAAATTAAAAATTGATGAGTCATCTTATTAATTTGAAGAAAAGTTTATGCTGGGATATTCGGATCTTCTATGTTTTTTATGAATATGCCCAGGTTCGTTTGCTTTTTTATACGGGAAGATTTTTCAAGAACCAGTGGTTGACTTTCAGATTAGATTTTACAGCTTTATTGCAGAAATTGTTACAACAGATGGTGTACAACAATCATCTTGAGGACTTTGACAGCTGTATTGTTTTGTCTATATAATTAAACATCATCTTGAGGACTTTTGACAGCTGTATTGTTTTGTCTATATAATTAAAGTCTCACATTAGTCTTGTTTGTACGCCCTTGGAGCCTCAGTTTTAGAGAGTTGGAGATTTTTGTGAGTACTTGTATTTTTTTTTTTTTTATTTCTTTGGGAGAAGGGATTTGAGTTTCTCGGGAGAAAAGCTTTCTTAAAAAGATTTTAACGTTATAAGTTGAGTGGTGCTCGCTGAGTAAATACTTTAAAAAATTTACAATTCATAGGCTTCCCACCCTGAGAGGGAGTCTTTAGTTATTTAAGTCTAATTGAGTTGTAATCTTGAGTTTGTTCATCATCTGAGTATGGTCTCATAGAGTAGGTGATTACTAAACTGTGATATTAATATTCTGTGTCTTTTACTTTTTCATGTTTTTGTTTTAATTTGTTACAACAAACTTAACAACAGACATGATAGAAGACTAAACCGAAACTTTCAATTAACAAATAAAATTGTTATAAAATTAATTATATTTAAAAATATGACAAAAAATATACTTTCTGCAGCCTCGTTTGCCCAACACTTACCTTGACAAAAATGTTGATCACGCCAGTGGTCGATCAGTGACTGCGGCTCGCATGGTTAATGACTCATCTATAACATTAAATTGGTGTGTCAATAAAAATAGATCTCACACATTTTCATAAATGTTATCTAGTTTTATCAAGATTTAAAAAGTGTTATTTAATCTTATTAATTTTTATCAAATTGTATTCAATTTATGTCATTCTAATTAATTATTATTATTTTTTGTGCAAAAATTATTACTAGTTTTTTCTTTAATTATTATGAGTTTTAAATTTATTCATAACAACTTTATTAATTGTTACTAATTATTTATTATTTGTTAATTATTACTTAATAACTAACAATTACCAATTAAATATTTGCCTTATTATTACTTTTTTACTAATTAAATATTAGTTTTATATTTAATTATTATTTATTTTTTGAATTAATGACAATAACTCCATTAATTGTTAGTTATATTTAATTATTAGGTAAGTTTTACTAAATAACTTCTAATTACCTATTAAACATTTGCTTTATTCTAGCATTTTTACTAATTATTATTATTCTTATGTTCAATAAATTATTACTTTTTAACATTAATTTTTTACTTTTTTCTAATTATTTTTATACTAATTATTAATATATTTTTACTAATTAATTATAAT